TAGACACCGGTATTTCAACGTATCATTTATCATCGGGCGCGCGAGCAACCACGCTCTTCCCCCCCTCCCTTTCGAAGATGACGACTCGATAGGACGAGGGAGGACCAGGCCTCGCGACACCGATACGACCGCTCGTATCATCCGTTTCGTTCGCGGATACGTACGACTCTCTCTCTCTCTCTCTCTCTCGAGGATTCTTCGGTCGATCGAAGATATTACCGGTCAGCCGCTGGCTGGCTGCCTACCGCGACTTTAATTATACCGGTACCTACGCAATTTGTCTCGTTATCGATTCGAGATTTCGCGACCGGCCCCTGCTCGTCCTTCTATATTTATCCTTCCCGTGTTTTATCCTTCCCCTCGTTCCAGTTTCCAGTGTTTTCAGTGGAAGGGGATCGGTTTTAGCGCCGGTTAACCACCCTTCGTCGTCCTAGGTCTGTCCTGTTTCGAGGTGAGGCAGGGATCCAGTTTTCGAATCGAGTTTATTTATCCTCTCTCGAAATCCTGGATTGACCGTTGAAGAGGTGCGCAACCACTGTCTCCAACCGTCGTAGTTATCTCTCTTTTCGATATTTTAGAGGAGGGGAGCAGGATTTTCGCCTCGAGAGAAAATTTTTCATCTCCTCTACTGTGATGGTGGTGGTTTCCTTTATTTACGACGGCGTTCCTCGTCGCGGCGATTTAAATTAATAACGTCGCGTTTCCCTCTCGCCGAGATTAATAACAGGTTAACGAAAAACTACGAGCGGACGAATCGAGAGGAGGGGTGGTTGATTTTCCCCTCTCCTCCAGAGGAATCTTGATAACGCGGCGGAGAATTATTATACGCACCGCGGTTGGAATCGATCGGCGTCAGCGCGGAAAGAAAAGGGAAATGAAATTTGCATTTTGCGACCAATTTGTTCCGAGGCGTTTATTTGCCTTATTTGTTTAGATTATTTATGTTATATTCCGGTCTATATTTGTATATCCTTATCTAGTTTATTTGCGTAACATTTCGTAAAATTTTTCCAAGGTGATCGAAAATTTCCGGAATTGCCATTATGAAAATTAGCTTCCACCGATGCAGATTAATGCCGGCATACGTTATCGCCTCGTCTACTTACGCGTCGCTAATATCCTAATAATTCGAATCGTGCTTATTATCCGCCCGTGCGAAATCGATTGTTAATTGTACCGGTGCTGTGTAAGCCTCTTAGACGAAAAACCGACGCGTATCTCTCCATATCAGTAAAAGTCAAATCGTAGAACGAATCGAAAAAATTACATCGCCTCCTACGAGAATTCTTCTTCGTACGAAGAAAGGGGGAGAGAGAGAGAAAAAAAAAAGAAAAGAGAAGAACGACGCGGTTAATCGCGTCATCGGGAAGTGACGGGACGAAATTTCTTGCCGGCCGGTTTTTGGATCCGCGAATTCCAGCGGGGCCCACCCCGACCCCGTATAACGAGTGAACACGCATAATGATATTAATCAAGGCGGCGCGTTCGGCTTCCTTAAAATTGCCGGCAGGCTCAATTTCTCACTTAAAATCTAATTAGAGCTCCGGCCGAGTTCTTCTTCTTCTTCTTCCACGAGCTTCTTCTGCTGCCGTGGGCCACGAGGAAGGGGGAGGAGGAGGAGGAGGGCCCCGCGAGCCCACGTATCCCACGAACGGACGGAGAGCTAAGCCACCACTTTGCCAAATTGCAGTTTCCTGCCCCTTCGTCGGATCGCCGTTCGTCGATCGCCCCGCAGATCATCCCCCTTCTCCCTCCTCTCTCTCTTCCTCTCTCGAGAGAAGGCTCTCCCCTCCTCCTCTCCCCCTTCGAAAGGGATTTTTCTCCTCGCAGCGCAATTGGAACGAGCGGCCCTTCGATTGCCCCGCGATCCAGGAGGCCCTCGGACCGCCCTCATCCTCCTCGGATTCGAGGCAACCATTTTCCCCACCTGTTGTTCCTCGCCCCCTTCCGTCTTTTCCTTTCTTTTTTCTCGCGAG